TTGGGGTGTTCAGCCTGGAGAAGAGAAGGCTCCAGGGAGACCTTAGAGCACCTTCCAGTGCCTGAAGGGGCTCCAGGAAAGCTGGGGAGGGGCTTTTCATCAGAGAAGACAGTGATAGGACAAGGGGTGATGGTTTTAAACTGAGAGAGGGGAGATTTAGGTGAGATATTAGGAAGAAATTCTTCACTCTCAGGGTGGTGAGGAGCTGGGATGGGTTGCCCAGGGAGGTGTTGATGCCCCATCCCTGGAGGTTTTTCAGGCCATGTTGGATGAGGTTTTGTGCAGCCTGATCTAGTGGTTCCCTGCTCATGGCAGGGGGGCTGGAGCTTGATGATCTTTGAGGTCCCTTCCAACTTCAGTGACTCTCTGATTACCTTCAGCAGCCTGGCAGGTCATCCTATAGTGGTCAAAGTCAGCAACAGGAGGGGTCCAGTAGATAACCATGGACTCCTGGGTGATGTTGCCCACCCGGAGGTCCTTGGGTGCATCGATTGCTGGTGAGACAGAGCAGAAAGCAAAGCTGTGGGAGGCAGGGTCCCCCCAACCTGCCCTCCCAGCGTGGCCCCCTGCCTGGCGGGGCTTGTCCCGCGGTACCTGTCAGGATGGAGCCCAGGATGGGCTCGGAGCTGGTGGCCCCGTGCATGGCCACCAGTGACACCAGGTAGCGGGTGGAGGGCTGCAAGCCGGTCAGGCTGGCGTGCCGGCGGGTGCCATCCAGGGTGAGCTGCTGGGGCTCCTCCCCGTCCTGGGGGCTGTAGGTGAGGACCAGGCGGTCTGCTGGTGGGGATGGGTCGCTCCAGGTGACGTTGACGCTGGAGGATGTCAGCTGGGAGAAGTGGAGCTGAGTGATGGGCCGGACCCCTGTGAGGTGGAGAGAGGAGCTGCAGCCCCTAAAGCGCCTGCAGGTCCCAGGCTCTGCCTTGTTCCCAGGTGCTCGCCTGGGAAATACCCAGCAGAGGTGGCAAAGCTGCAGCTCATGGGCTCTCTGTGGATCTGAAGCTGTTTGGGGACTGCAAGGCAGAGCTGGGAGGCCAAGCAAGAGTGCTCAGTGCTGCTTGGTCAGGGTGATGGAGCCTCCGTGCTGGTAGGGCCATCCTTCTGAGTTCCACAGACCTCCTCCCACATGAGTAGATAGCCCCCAGCTCTCAGCCCCATTTCACCACCTCAGGAGACTGGGTGAGCTGGTGGAGGTGCCAGAGCGAGGTGGCCCCATCCCCACTTGTCTTTCTCTTACCTGTGAAGGCATCCACGGTGGCCTCCAGGCTCTGCTGGCGTCCCCTCTCAGCAATGATGGAGATGGTGTACTCAGTGCCAGGCTCCAGCTCTGTGAGGGTGAGCTGTGACTTGTCCTGGGGCACTGTCACTTCCGAGGCCATCCCTGAGGAGGGGATGAAGGTGACACGGTAGTGGTCGATGGGCCCAGTGGCTTTGGTCCAGGCCAGTGAGATGGATGTCTCTGTGGATGCTGTCACCAGCAGGTCCCGGGGGCTGTCGAGCTCTGTGGGAGAAGGATGGTGCAGACCCTCGTCCCCACGCACAGACTGCCCCATGGAGACACCAGAGCCATGCTTGTCTGTGCTCGGAGCAGGCACCAGGGCCAGACTCACCAGTCCTGGCGTTCATGGTGGCCGGGACGCTCTGCTGGGTGTCCATCAGGGCTGAGATCCCAATGCCATACTCTGTCCCTGGCACCAGATCTGGGGATGGAGAGGACACGCAGGAACGTGAGAGCCACACGTGGCCTGGAAGCCTCAGAGTGGGGTTGGGGACCTTCCTGGGTATCCCCAAGACAGGAAACCCTCCCTCCGAAGAGTTGAGACTTCAGAAGAAGCCCCTTGGATGTGTCTGGACAGGGAATTTGGAGCATCCTCGCTCAGAAATGAGCAGTTTGCTGGAACTGCTGGCAGGGAGACAGACCTTGTGTGTGTGTGAGAGCTGGGAGGGGAAGGACAAAGTGGCTGGATTCGTTTCCAAAGTGATTCAACATCAAACAGTGTCACAGGGTTGGTGTCTCAGAGAGAAAGAAATGATGCAGACTAAAGGAAATGCATGTTAATGAGGATTCTGGGAGCTGGACCAAGCACTGCTCCATGGGGTGGGCATGTCCTGCCCGTGGGATTGGAGGGACGTGGGGATGGAGCTCACCCAGCTCCTTTCCTGCACTGCTGGTGGCTGTTTTATCTCTGTGGGACACTCCCATCTGTCCCTTCTGAGGGCTTTATTCTCCTCCTCATTATCTTTCCCACAGGATTATTGAGAACCACAAACCCTCCAACCCAGCCTCTTCCAGCCTTGAGCACCACCTGAAGGCACCAAAACCTCTGAGAGGCCAGGAGAGAGGGACCCCCCCATCCCTGTTTCCTCTTGCTGTGGTGTAGTTTTGGCCCTGAGGTGGGAGGGGAAATGGAGCCCTTTGCTTGTGCCCCATAAATGTCAGAAGGCTCCTGGAAAGGAGGAGAATAGCCTTAGAGAAAGTGGGAGGAGAAGAAAGACATGAGCAGGAACGTGTCTTTTTGCTCCTGAGTAGAGCAAAATGATGGGTATTTCAGTGCAAATGCTGATCTGGAAGGCAGACACATGGGGGCAAGGCAAGGCTTGCTGGATTTTTAAGCTTAAACCCTTGATAAGCTCAGCTCAGACCTGTTCTTCACTGCTGGCAGATCACTGGGTGCTTCCACACCATGGATTGCACCAGGTCCTGGGTGGTTGGAAACCCCCCCCAAGAGGCTTTACACCATGGGGAAGAAGACCTTGAAGGACATGGCTATTGACTTCAGCCCTGCATCTCTGGAGCTTTGCTGGAGGGGCTGCTCCCCTGTAGCCCTGCCTGAGTCTGGCAGCAGGAAGGCAGCACTGGTGCTGCCAGGTAGAGACTTAACAGGTTGTTCTGTTTTTATGAAGAGCAAAGGGAGCCTTCATGCTCTCTCTTCCTCCAAGGCAAGCTCAGGCCCTGCCATGGGTGTCATCTCAGCTTGGGTCACTGGGGTATTATTGCCCCTCTGCCCCAGGGAAGAGGATTTGCCCCATTTTTCATGCTCCTTCTCACCTAGAAAGGCAGTACTTGCCTTGAGCAAGGGTAGCAGGGTCCAACACTGGCTCCCAAATCCCTCATTGATCCTCCTTAATCTCATCTTGCTTCTCCATGCACATCCTCATCACAAATGCAGCAGAAAGGATCACTAAGAGGATCATTATTTCTGCATGCTGCATTTTTCAAGGGAGCTGCTCTCATTGCTTTCCTGCCCTCCAGCCTTTCTTGTGGCTCAGTGCCAGTGAGCCCATCACTTGGCATTTGGCTTTCCCACTGAGCTTACTCCTAGAGATCCATAGGGCAGTGGTGCCTGAGCCCTCTTCCAGCAGGGCAGGAGGTCCCAAGAGGGCAAAGAGAGTCAACGTGGCAGAACCTGGTGTCCTGGTGGCACCCCCTGTGCTGCCCTGAGTAATGTCCAGCTTGAAGGGCTTGGTCAAAAATAGAAGCCTTGGATTTGGGTTTGCTTTCTGCTTTGGCCCCCGTTTGGGAAAAGGCACTGAATTTGGGCAGGGTGACTCCCCACCTTTTTCCTAGCTAGGGAAAAAAAAAAGGGGGGGGGAAAAAATGAATCTAGATCAGCCTAAAAAGGCTTCCTCTCCACATTTCTCATTTTGTTTCTGGCCAGCTCTGTTTGGGACCTGCACAGGCCCCCACTGGAGGAGCATTGCCTGGAGGTGCAGCACTTGGAAGCGCATCACGCAGCTGGTGGATGGGCAGCGCCCAAATCCAGACCTGCAGAGGGGGAAATGAACTTCACCCCAAGGAAAACCTCCTCTCTGGTAGCTCAGATCTGTGCCAAATTGGTGCTGATTTGGGCTCTCCACCACCTTACTTGCCCGTGAGGAGGAGGAGGGGAGAAGAAGGATGCACACATACCTGCCAGGGTAGCCCGGGTGGTGGGACCGGTGTCGCGGGGCACCAGGACTTCGTGGTAGTGCTCCCCAGCCAGGGTGCTGTAGACCACCCTGTAGCTGTGCACCTCAGCCTCGCTGTTGTCCCAGGTGAGCTCCAGGCTGGCTGGTGTCCGTGAGCCCACCCGCAGGTTCTTGGGGGCATCAATCTCTGCACGACACAAGGGGGAGAGGGTCCGTCTCACCAGCGGGCACCAACGCACCCCGTAGCCTTGGCGTGGCTAAACAGCAGTGGGTGGGATGTCTGTGGGGTCCCGTGCTGATTCCCTCCACCCAGCAGAAAGGGCTGGGGTGTCTGCTCTCACCTCCTGCTCAGCACAGACCTGGACATGCCACCCACAAGACTGCCACAAGTGCTGGAGCATTGGCAGCATCTCCCGGGGAGTTCCTTCGGGAGCTAATTGCACGTGTTTTGAAGGAGAGGAGCACTTTCCTGCTCTGTTTAGCATCAGGGAAACTGAGGCAGCGTGCAGAACAGGAAAAGTGCTCTGTGGCAGTCACCTGAACTGCTCTTAGAAGAACCACGAGTACCTTTACAGGCCCATTCATGCTTAGACGTTGCCCAGAGGGTTTGTTCATCAGCGCCGCTGAGGCTGCACCGAACCTGCTCTGCTTGGCACCACAAGCCATGGCTGGGCTGGAGTTGGGCCCCAGCAGCCAGGGGGTCATTACTGCTCCTTCACGGGCCTGGGCTTGGGGCGGGGGGAGGGATTTTTTTTTTTATGTTGCCTTTGAGAAGCAAAGCAAGAAAGGCCAAGGCAGCAAATGAGTCGCAACGAGCATCTCATCTGTAACGTCTGTCCGCGGCGATGCACGTGGCACGAAGCAGCACTGAAGGATGCACCCTACCTACTCAACCTGTTAGCTCTCTGCAGGCTTAACATTTAATTAAAGCTTTACTGACCAGTTAGGGTGTTTGGAGAAGATATAAAGTAAGATAATGGTGTTTCTGACCAGGCTGTGTTCAGCTGCTCGACTGCCGATCCGCCAGGCGACGCGTCCGTCGTGGCTCTGGGCGCGGGGTGGGAGTGAGTGTTGCCTGGAATTCAGGCCTCTGCTTGTTGGTTGGGTGGTTTTGAGGACTGCATGTTGATCTGTGGGTGCTGTTAAGGGTGTGGAGGGCTGGGTGGCAAGGCTTGTAGCCTGATCTCTGAAGGGGCACTGGAGGTGGTGGAGATGTGTGCCTCGCCCGGGCAGCAGCAGGTTCAGCCTTGATGCTGCAGCAGGACGTGGCCAAGGTGGGGTTTGCCCAGAGGTTGTCATCTAAATGTGGAGTTTTGGGTCATCTGTCTAGTGGCTGGGTCACCTGGGCTGCCTAGGGTGAGTTGAATCATTTGCTCTGCACCAGGACCATGACAGGAGGCAAGACACCTCCATTCAGGTTTCTTCACTTGGACCTCCACCCTAACCAGAATGTTTTCACTGGGCTGCTTCTTCCCTTTACAGTGGATTCAAGCCCAGACCACTCGTGCCAGGGGAAAACCAGGTACCACTAAAGCTGGCCATGTGCCCTCATAGCCCAGAAAGCCAACTCTGTCCTGGGCTGCATCAAAAGTGTGGCCAGCAGGTCAAGGGAGGGGATTCTCCCCCTCTTCTCCACTCTGGTGGGAGCCCCTCCTGCAGGGCTGTGTCCAGTTCTGGAGCCCCTGGCACAGGAAGGACATGGAGCTGTTGGAGGGAGTCCAGAGGAGGCCACAAAGATGCTCAGAGGGCTGGAGCAGCTCTGCTCTGGAGCCAGGCTGGGAGAGTTGGGGTGTTCAGCCTGGAGAAGAGAAGGCTCCAGGGAGACCTGAGAGCAGCTTCCAGTGCCTGAAGGGGCTCCAGGAAAGCTGGGGAGGGACTTGGGACAAGGGCAAGGAGGGAGAGGATAAGGTGGAACAGTTTTAAACTAGAAGAGGGGAGATTTAGATGAGATAGTAGGAAGAAATCCTTCCCTGTGAAGGTGGTGAGAGCCTGGCCCAGGCTGCCCAGGGAAACTGTGGCTGCTCCATCCCTGGCAGTGTTGAAGGGCAGGTTGGATGGGGCTTGGAGCAACCTGGGCTGGTGGGAGGTGTCCCTGCCCATGCAGGGGGTGGGACTGGGTGATCTTTAAGGTCCCTTCCAACCCAAACCAGTCTGTGTTTCTCCAGCCTCATCTTAAACACCCACAAGGTGGAGGTGTCACTACATCTTTTGGCGACTTCCACCCATGCTGAGCTGCCCCCCAAATTTCCTCCCTCTGTATTTGTATTTACGGGATGGCTTGAGATGATGACTTTGCAGGGAGAAGATGTGGGCACTCCCTCCCTGGCAGTGTTGAAGGGCAGGTTGGATGGGGTTTGGAGCAACCTGGGCTGGTGAGAGGTGTCCCTGCCCATGCAGGGGGTTGGATCTAGATGATCTTTCAGGTCCCTTCCAACCCAAACCAGTGGG